CGAGTGCAATATTCCAATCCATCAAAACCATACTCAAAGGTTTGGCATGTATCAGACATCACCTTTTAAAAATTTTTACTCAAGGGTATTATTTTTTCAAATAAATCAAAATTACCATTTTTTAAAACTTTTAATTAAAGATATCGCATTCTTAATTTTATTATTTAAGGATTAATTGGATTTCAGGTTGAATTGCATATTCTGTATATGGAATCCACCTAAATTGCTGATGTGTCATATGGGGGGGCAATGCAGCATAAGTGTCGACACTATAACATAGGTGTCGAGACCACAATATAGCTTTTATTTCTACATGTTAGAATTAATTTACTACCTTTTTTTTAATCTTGAAGCACATATGAAATGAATATTTTTTTAAATGATAGAATCTTCCAAATGCTAAGAAAAAAAAAATTAAATGACGCCCCTGTACCTCCAAGAATTGTTTTCAAATGTGAGAGATGTATTTTCTATCTTCCAAGAAAATGAAAGTGTAGTGGAAAAAGGTAAGTTTACTTTTATATTGATGTTAATACAATGTTTAGAAGCATATAAATATTTAATGTTATCCCTGAGTAATATTGTATCTTTTATCATGCAAGGATTCTCGAATTGCTTAACAAAAGAGGCGAAAGAAGAAAAACCACATTCTTTATAGTGAACCATCCAACTCTCTATAAAGATAATTTTCTTCACAGGTGATAAAATGCTTGACATAATGTGGTCAAAATTTTCAAACATGGATCAGCCATGGTGATTTCTTAGAAGAGTAATGCTTTGGGGACTAACACGCCCCTAAGCCGAATTGGGACCTATGGTACTTATAGCTTTTTCCCTTTTAAATTTTAGGTCTCGTAATTTTCTATTTTCAACTTGAGGTCTTATGAAATTTACTTTTTATTTCTAATTTAAATAATAACATCATTTTGAAATCATTAAATTTTAAATTAAAAACTGATGAGCTAAATCCACTCTAGTAAGAGTATTAGTCAATTCAAGTAATATAATGATGAAAATAAAGTATTGTCCTACAGAGACTGTAGACTAATTAAGTACCGAAATTAACTAATTTTAATTTTATTTGAACAATTGAAATTAAATTGTTTAAAAAAAATAGCTAAACTAATTAAAGAAAAACTAAATTAACTTTAAGTAATACAAAGAATTAAAATTCTAAAACATCCGATTTCACCATCGTCAACTAATATAAAATTTAAATTAATATACTTTCAAGGTATTTATTATTTATGTGACAATGGAATTTCTTATTCTATTTGATATACTTTTTCAAGTTATACCAAACATATTTTCACCTATTAACCCACTGTATCTTTATGTGAATTTAAATAGATAAAAATGCATTATATTATGTGAAATTCTCTAGTTTACATAGAAAATTAAATCCACTTATTACTAATGCTTTACAAATCATGTTGGTCCATCTTTGGTTTTCGTTTAATTCATGGTATATATTACTAGAAACTATTGCATAAAATCTCTTCTCGATCTCAATTATACTCTCCAAATCAGTTTTAATGGTGGCCAATCATTAAAAAACATTAAGAACAATAATATATACTCTACATAAAATAATAAACCTTGAAAGTATAGAAATCATGAAATTCTATATCAAATTGACTAGGCTACATTATAACCTTAGATGGCTAAATTAGTTCATACTAAACATTATAAAATCTGAAATTAAATTAATGAACCACAATTCCATATCCAACAAAGGAAAAAAGTAAAGCATAGGAGAGAAAAACCCAATTTTAGGTACATTGGAACCACTTTTGGACTCTTCACTGGTGTGCTTTCCTCTTATTCTTGAGTAGAATCTCCTCTATGGTTGCCCTTGTTTCCGCCATCACCCACAACGAGATCTAGCTTGCTCTACCTCCTAGACACTATTCTTCTTTGTCGACTGCCTCCCTCCTCTCCAGTAACTCCCTTTGCCGTTTATATACTAATCATGCCCTTATCAAAAGCCCTTATCGAAAGGCCATTCATTTTGAAGGCCCACTAGTACAATGACATGCGCAGCACGTGTATAGAAAGAAAACAATTCAAGTTTTAGTCTTCAAATGGAGAAATTATGGAGTCAGTCTTCCTTTTTATAGCTTTTGTCATTTCAGCTCAGTTACTTTTGATTTCTTTGATTTTACCCTCTACCTACAAAGAATGATGAAAACAATGTAAAACCAAATAAAATCACTCCAAGAAGGCTCCAATTCATGACTAAAAAATCATGTAAAATTGTAGGGAACTTAGGCTCATCAAAAACTTTTAAACTCTATCATTAAATATTAGATCCTAAAATTTAAAATATAAACCAAAACCCTAAGGGCACATTTAGAGTTATGGTTGAGGTTTTTTTTGTAACTGTATTGCGCTTTTAGATTTATATATGTTTGGTAATTTTTTTCGAACTACTTTTTCCAAAAGTTATAGAAAGCCATAACAAGTACATAACAATTTTATATATAAAACCAAAAGTCTCATTTTAGAGCTTTTTGTCTCATTTTAGAGCTTTTTGATTGTAACTTTTATGGACAACACTTAATATTTAATATAATTACAAAACCATTCATTAAAACTTAATATAATTACAAAACCATTCATTAAAACACAACCTTATTTAATTCAATTTCACCACAATATATAATATTTTATTAAACTTAACCAATCATTTATTTAAAGATGTCATAAAAAAACTAAAAACTCATTCTCTCATTGTGAGTTGCTATCTTGCAAAACCCAAAAGAATACTCATCATAAAAAACTTAAAAAACATAAATTATTAAAAAGTAGTAAATGTTATCTATTTTAGTAATTACACATCATAAAATATTTTTTAAATTTTAATTAATAATTAATAAAATTTATCATATGTCATCCACAATACTTGTAAGAAATAAATCATTAAATACTAAAATAACTTTCAACTATAATAACAATGCAGTATAGTTTAACATAACCATAGTCATAGCTAATGAGAAGCATTTTATATGTTTTAGTTTATTATATTAACTTTGATTTTATTATTATTTACAAGGATAATGTGATTTTTAATAGATTTTATATAATTTTCATTCTTTGTGTAGAAAAGAACTTGAATGCATAATAATTAGAGTTTTTGGGTTTGTTTGATTTTTTTTAAAGTTTGGGGGCTTAATTGTAAGAAGAAAGCTTCCACTTTGGCATCTAAAGGAATGAATCTTAAGTTACAAGATCAAAGTGTTTATCATATAAAAGTTGGAGGACAGATTTGCTATTTTACCATTGATGTCAAAAACCCGACATGGGTATGGTGTCGACACATAGTTCATGGTATCAGCACTATGCAATGCGCATTTGATAAAACAAACTGCATAAAATAAACAGAAGTGTTACCACCTAGACGCTTATGTTAGACGCCAAAAGCATGTCCAGCATTAGTAATTTCTCTTTTTGTCTTGAATCCTACTTTTTTTTTTTTTAATAGAATTTCTTAAACTCTATAAATACCAATTCAAAAAATTAGATTTGGGGGTTTTGAAAGAGATCAAGAGAGCGATAACCAAGAGGAACTCAATATCAAAAGAAAATCAATGTTTGAAATTAATTTTATATCATCATATTGGTTTTATTTATTTTTAAATTTTGTTTTATGACGTCGGACACTCTTATGTTCGTTATAAAATCTTTAATTCTCTTTTCTTTAACTATGAATTAATTTAGCTATCTAAGACTACGATGTAATCCAATTAATTTGATATAAAATTTCATGATTTTTATATTTTTAAGGTTTATTATTTCATACAGAGTATATATTATTATTCTTAATGCTTTTTAATGACTGACTACCATTAAAACTAATTTGGAGAGCATAACTAAGACCAAGAGGAGATTTTATGCAATA